TTAGGAGAAATTACCACATGTTACTATGGTAACTTCTCAAATAGTATAAATAGAGAGGTAGAGTAGCACCTCTCAAGCAAGTTTGGAGAGTCATGTGTGAGGACTTGTTTCAGTAATGAAGGAGTGAAGTTTTTGAGTATCTTGGAGTATCGACGTGTGTTTGAGATTATGTGAAGAGGGCGATGTGAGGAGAGTTTGAGTGTGAGTTGGAGTGATACATGAGAGTGTATGAGAGAAGGTGTTTGGGACAAGAGTGAGAGTATGAATCCTAGTCTTCTAGAATCATGATGCGCTACCACAAAGCCATCAGAGGTAAACCTGAGTGAGAGTCAGCCCGGAGGTTGCAAGCCGGTGTCTCGTAGGCGGTTCTTCCGCCGGCTCCTTCCCCTTCCTACGTTGGAACGGGGGTGATTCTTGCCTGTGCACAGGCGGCACGTGTGGAGGTGTCCTGTGCACAGGCGAGCGCCTGTGCACAGGCGGACTGCTCCTTCCCACGCGTAAGCGTAGATCCACGTCCACTTGTGTTCGCCGGTCCGCGGAGGCTCGTCCGTCCGCGGAGGTTCGCCTGTGCGCAAACGGAACATCTGTCCGCATCGCACGTGGTAACTCCGGAGGCCCTTGGCCCGTAGGCGGCCTCTCTCCCGACGAGGTTGCAGCGTGGCCCGTTGCTCCTGCGGTCGTCCGCGCTTCCTCTCGCCTCTCTGGCGACGCACTTCCTATCTCCGTCGCAATCGTCGCCGTGTCTGCACTGTCAGCTGGCAACACCAGTCTGCGTGCCTTCTGCTTCGGCCGGCTGTATGGCTCGCACAGCGGCCGCGGTCGAATGGGAGCAGAGGGTTCTTGATGCTGCTCCTCTTCAGACTCTTCCCTCCATCGCCGCTTCCGCGGCACTCGCGCTGCAGGAGTGTGTCTCCCTTCGTCCCTCCGTCTTGATGGGGTCGAAGTCGGTGACTCCTCTGCATCAGTATCGACCTCGTTCTCCCGCACATACTTCCCGGGATGGTCGATGGACAATGGCGGAAAATGTTCAAGCTCCGCCGCTGTCAAACAATTCCGCTGTCGATAAAAATTGATGAGGAAAGGAGAAAGATGGTTTAGAGTTCCCCCCTTCTCCTCAAACGCGTGCTGTCGCATCACCCTGTGCAGGATGCTCGCCCAGTGAATTGGAGTTCCCTCGATGACGCACTCCACAAAAGAGACCTGCCACAATGTGATGTAGCAGGCGCGGTGCGGCTGCAGTAATTGCATCAGCGCCGCGGACAAAGTCCGGCGAAATCGATCCTTGTAATCACGGGTCCTGTACCCATTCTTGGTAGACCTCCCGGTCTTGAACAGCTCCACAAATTGCGCCTCTTCTTGCTTGGTCACCTTGATACTCTCACTGTCGAAAAGGAGATGCCCTGGCATGCCAGCACATCTTCCCAACGCCTGCGCCCAATCTTGGACTGTCCACCGATCAACATGCGGACGCAATCCGCGCGAGGGTGGTCCCTGTGGCTCTAGCCACTCGCGCACCATATTCGCACAGATGTAATTCCATCCCCATAGCAAGAAATCGAGCTTTCTTGCTATTAAGCGCTCCTCGAAAGCGCGCAGCCCGTTCTGCGGCAGGCGAAGTGGCACCATCCGCAATCTGCTCGGTCTCGTCATTGCGTTCCTGGGGTTCGCTCGCCCGCTCATTCTACTTCCGCACTGCCTGCGCTTCTTTCTCTCTCGGCAAACTCTAATCGCCCTCAATTCCAAATCACGCGCACTCACTTCTCCCTCAATCAACAAGAAATCTCCTGTGCGACGACGTCAAGAGTGTTCCGCAGCCAGCAGATGGATGCGCGCAGCGCGCACAAGAGATTGGAATCGCGAATTCAAGAATGGGACGTTCTCCGCCGCCCGATCGAAGGTCATGGTCGGCTCTTGGTCGTGAAGAACGTCTCACTTGAAGGCCGCGCCGGCTGTACGCTGGAACGGTCTTCGCTCTCACGCGCGGCTTCACGCTCCGCCGTCGTCGATTAAACTCTCACGCTCGAATTGGCGGATTTGAACTCCGCGAGCGTGTCACCCTGCGGACATGGGGGCGTAGCGCCGAAGGCGAGTTTCCGCCTTGCGCGGTACACTTGTTCGTACCGCCCCTCGGCCAATCTCCCTCTGCCTTGACGCGTGTGTCCGCATGTCGGACAAAATTCAACTCCTGCCTGTGCGCAGGCAGGAGCCTCGGCGGATTCTCCGCCGGCGCGGAACTTGAACATCCTCCTGTGCACAGGCGTTCGCCTGTGCGCAGGCGAATTCCGTCCGCGGCGCTGCGCTGGCGCGGAAGGCGTTGACCGTGGTCAGCCGTCTCCGTCCAGTCTGTCCGTTCCTTGTCTCTCCGTCGGCGCTTCCGCCGCCGCAACTCCGTCCGTCCAAGAGCGCATCCACCCGTGCCGTCCGCATGGTCCGTACCGATTGGATTACTCTGGCGGCTCTTCCGACGTACGCGGCGCCGCGCTGGCGCGGAAGGCGCCGTACACTTTCTACCTCACAAGGCGCATTTCTAGGGCCCAAGGCGGATTTTCCGCCGACGCCGAAGCGCCTGTGCACAGGCGAGCGCCTGTGCGTAGGCGGACTTCGCGCCTTCCCTAACCCTACTTCGCCTGTGCACAGGCGAACGCCTTCGTCCGCGCATAGGACAAAACTTGATTCCCCCTTCCGCGTAGGCGGAATTCGCGCCGGTGGCGAACTCCTTCCGCCGTAGGCGACCGCCTCCGTTTCTTCCAGTAGCGATAACTCCCTAAGTCCTCGTCCGTTCCAAGCGTTCTTGGGCTCGTTGGAATCAGTGCGTCGAGCTCTTTCCAACGGGATCCTAACTTGGTCAAGGCGCCCGAGGGTTGACCTAATTACGGGGGTTTCCCTACAGCCGCGGACGCAACCTCCGAAGGCGGGTTTTGCGCCTTGCGCCGTAGAGATCCTAACTGCAGAGCTCGCAGGGAGGGTGGTGCCTGTCCTTACTGCGGCACCCCAAATCCCAGATTCTACAAGATCCCTGGAGAATCCCCGCGATCTTCCGGATTCACTCTGTTTTGATGTACCGGAGGCTATTTACAATGCTGCCAGGGTACAGTTTTCCAAAAATGTTTTAATTTCCTCAAAATTGCCAAAAGTGGGGTACCACACAGTAACTAATGCACTTTTCTTCGTGTCGCTGACGCCTGTCGGTTTCTGTCCCGAACCAACACCTAGTGCTAGAGTAATCACTAGTCTGCACAGTCCCAACTCACTTTCGATTCCGATAGACTTTCACGCTACTCAGCCATTCAATGGTACCAGCACACCATCCATCGAATGTCATTGATGTCCACCACGCGGCACAGCTGTAGCTGTATCCAGCTAGAGTACTCTGCGTGCATGGCCGTCCCAGCCAGATGCAAATCAGTGGACCCTCGCTGCATTAATCTTCTTGTTACCAGCAGCCGCTTGATCCCATGCTTACTGCAGGTTCTCATGTGCACGCTCGTGTCGCACAAGAAACATCACGATCTGTATGAATTCTTACCTGTCAGAATCTTACTCATAACCGGTCAAGACGCATACTACTCGCGAACCCACATTCCCAACAGTCCATTATCGCAAGAATATAAGTTGTAAGAGATGCTGTGCACCGGGACTGGTACTTCGGACCAAGGCACGATGTTTGAGCTTTAGGTGCGGCATCATGCGACTGGTATCACCATTCAGGAGCAATTGTACTACCTTTTATAATATCATCATATCAGGAAACGAAGATGTCGGAGGAAAGTCAGCTGGACATGAATCTGTAGAAGTCAAATATTCTCTCAACGTTGGAACAGTGAGAAGATGAAATTGGGGGTTTAGCGTCACAACAAGTTCGACTTGGACCTTGCTTCAGTGTGCTGAAGCAAGTTCTGATTCTTCTGTAACCTGTTTGTTCTTCGTACGGATGGTAAAATTCTTTATTCTTGCATGGAATACAAAAATAATTGTAAATTGTCAAGATGGGGCAGCAAGATCATGAGTAGATTGGCTTACGAGCCATTTTGCTCTGTACTTGATGGTAGACATCTTCACTTGACCCACCTCGTGCCATATTTGCAGGCGAGAAAGTAGCAAAGAACACTCCATGAAGAACAGTGATCCTATACTGCATAAATATACATAACGGACAGAGTTTGAAGTGATCAAAATGATATAATCGCAAGGAGAAACTTGCAGAATCCTCATTGGCAACCCAATGCAAAAGATTTGATCATTTTACTCATTGTATACAATATTCGGGTAGTTATCAGCAAACTTCATGAACTCAATGGGGCAGGTTGAAGGTTCTGAAGTGTTTTTCAGTGTTTTAAGTAAAGTTTTGCTTCTTGTGGAATGGGTGTAAACAACACTAAACTCAGTATAACACACGCTTTAAAGCTCTTAGCTTTTGTTCCGGAAACTGAGACTTTATCACCCGAACACATATTATAGTACAACCTTGATTCCAACTGCCAAGAGCCAACTAACTTTCTGAGATTTCTATTGCATTGGAGAATGTTTTAGCCTCTGCAAACCTGGAAAGGTTGACTCTTATCTTTACTTAGGAACCTATCATTCTCATTTTCTTGGTGTTATCGATAATTTACATTCAGGCCCTTATTGTCATCTCGACAATCATCATCACGAAAGAAATTATTACTGTCACCGGCAGCCATTCAAGAAATGATTGTGTTTGCCATTCTAATTTAGAAAAGATCGGCCCTTCTTTGTAGTCATAGGGACTTGAAGATTGGCTTACGCGAAGATATCTTCGCGTAAGCCAATCAAACATGGAAACTTTCTGCATAACTGGGCAGCACTTAATGACCCTGTAACATACAGACTGCACAAACTTAAACTCAAATTCTAGTCACAATATGTCGAAGGTTACATTTGTACATCTTATTCTTTTGAAAGTTCCTACCCCACTTGACTGGAGATTTGGACTTTCACGCCATAGCCACTATTGAGGCCAGTTGTTACTCCAGATTCCGCCGAAGCCATGCATCAGGCAGATCATGGCTAGCCCGATCCTGCAGCTTTGTTGGAGGAGGAGGAGTATAAATGCAAGCACTCCGTAAAACGATATCATCACCGGCTCATTCATCGAGCCTAATTGAATTCTATTGCAACGACAGCCATCACCAGGTACCGTAGCGTATGCAACAGTGTTTAAGATTTCAGTATTCGTACTGGTGAGTTTAGTTTTGGCAGCTATAGTTCTGTTCAAGATTTCGTACCGATGCATCTGATCCACCGTAATTGCCTTCAATAGTTGGGAAATTGTGATTTAATAGCTCTACCAACTCTGTCTGTCTAATGTGCTATCTTGTAAGCAGCTGTTCAAGCCGGAAAAGATGGCCTCGACAAGCGTCCTACTGAGCAAGACCATTTTGGCGAGCGTCGTGCTTTTGGCAACAGTATGCGCATGCACTGCGGTGAGTCCCCACGCAGCTGGTCTGTCTGAGGACTTTTACGACAAAAGCTGCCCTCAAGCAGCTTCCATCGTCGACGCCTACGTCACCAAGTTCCTCGAGAAGGACAGAAACTTTGCTGGTGCCTTCAACAGGTTACAGTTCCATGATTGCTGGGTTGGGGTAAGAAATCTTCATGCACAGACCTTCGTGTATATATTGATCTCAACTAGTTTCTGATCAGGTCGTTAAAGTTAATATTCTGCGGGGAGTTTAACAGAGTTCTCGTTTGACAAGATTATCCGACACTTTATAAGTACAGAGAAAGTGTTGCAAACATAGAGTGCTTCTGAAGATATTTTTCTCTTAGAAGCCGTTATTTTGTTTCTGGAATGATTCCAGGGCTGCGATGGCTCTGTTCTCTTGAACTCGACCGAAACCAACCAAGCGGAGAGGGAAGCTCATGTCAACTTCGGCCTCAGAGGAGTTGCAGAGATCGATGAAATCAAGGCTGGTCTAGAACACTTCTGCCCAGGCGTTGTGTCCTGCGCAGATATACTCATCCTGGCTGCTCGTGATGCCACTGCCAAGGTTAGCCTCCAAACTTTGAATTTCTATCCTGCTAGCTCCCGACTGATAATTTCAATATCGGAGTTTGTTCATACATTTTCGTGTCTCATCTGTTGATCACTCTAATTCAAGTCTTACAAACCTTTCTGCCTCCGTGGCATTGACAGGTTGGAGGCCCAACTTGGTCCGTCGCTTTGGGTCGCAGAGATGGAGTGAATTCCTCAGCCTTGATGGCTGACACAAATCTACCATTCCCTGTGCTCAACTTCAGTGGGCTCGTTGCTAACTTTGCCGCCAAGGGGTTCGGTGCCAGAGAAATGATCACACTCTCAGGTCTGAAATCTTTGCATTCAGTCATTTTAGCTGCATGCACTAAATTTGCGTGAAGTTCATTATCCTCTTGTGCTCCAGAACATAAACGTGGTTACCTTCAAGTCAAGATTGTCAATGGCAGAAATTTGTTCTGGCTGCCGTGTTCATGTTGTGCAGGTGCACACACTATCGGTCAGTCTCACTGCAATGGGATCCTCCCTCATCTCTACAACTTCACGGGAAGGGATGATGCCAATGACACCGACCCAGCAATGGATAAGAACTTTGCTGTCTTCCTCAAGAAGCTTTGCCCTCAGGGTAACAGGACCAACACAATCTTCATCGACTCCACAGCCAACACGTTCGACAGAGCCTACTACAAAAATGTGCTGCAGGGCAAGGGAATTTTCATTACCGACTCCACCCTCATAACCAACCCTGTAGGCAAGAAAGTCGTCACCAAATTCTCGAAACCTGGCTCCAGCTTCTTCACAGAATTTGCTGCTGGCATGGTGAAGATGGGAAACCTTGGCGTACTCACTGGCACTGAGGGTGAAATCCGCAAGACATGTCAGTTCGTAAATTAATAGGTCCTTCCAGAGACTCGAGACGTTTTAGATCAGTCCAAGTAGAAAGAGGTTGGAGACTTTAAGTCTCACAGCATTCGTGACAGATTGATAGAATAGATTAATTCATTTATTCATTTCCAGAACATCAGAATAAGCTCCATTTGTAGAGTCACGACGATTTTGCCTTTCTCTGGTGTTTGAGCCTCCTCCATTACAACTCATACCACCAAAAGTAGGGATAGAATGTACGTCATTCTCTACAACTGCTGCAAACTGGAGCGAAGAGGTTAGATCAGAGAGGTTCCAGACTTTGGCCAGGAATTGTCAAATGTAAGTTTCTCCCGAGACTGAACCTGTTCAAAAGAAGCAATAAATTGGATCGATACCTGAAATACTCCATCATTGAGTTTTGTTAATTTTGCCTTTCGTGTTCTGAAACTCATCCAATTCAGGCTCTTGAATATCCGATGGCGGTGGTTCAGAAAACCTCGCAGAGTAAAGTTACTTCACTCTGCGATGTCTTCTGTCCATGTTCCCCCTATGCGTGTGGATTTGAACATATGCTTTTAATGATTCCAAACCTTACATGAAGTAATCACAAAATTCCTCCATCCCTGCTCGGTTTCTCGTGCATGCATGGAGATTATCTGGAGCATGCACGGTATCATGTACGATCTTTCCACTGCTCTTCACTGAGCAGCAGAGTTGCCCGCTGCATCGTCCGCTCTGATCATGTCGATTCTTCTTGCGCTCTCGTTCCTCGCTCTCTTCCAAATGCCGCATCTCTCATCAGCTGTTCCGGGTGGGTTCTTCCGGTTCCAAAGGTTCTCGGCTATTGCGACAAAACCTCGGTCTGGAAAGCCTCAAGCTCGACGATCAGGAGTTTCCCAACTCCGCAGTGGCAGAGCTGGTCGTTCCAGCTGATGAGAGCCGCAGCCATCGCGAGCTGGCCCCGGCACCATTGGCTCGAAACCGATCTGCTGTACCTGCGTCTCATCCGAATGGCAGTGCCCTTCGTGGAGTGAGAAAGCTTCTGTTCGAAACTCTGAGCTGCGCACTGCAGGATCTCAGTCTGACACAAGGCCCCGTGAGCTCCACGAGCGGCATTCTAACTTTCTACGTGCAGATTGTGAACCTGTGCGGAGCATGCGCCATGGCCGACATTCATGTGGCTTGTGGAACCTGGGCCTGGGCGACTCCTGTCGATCCGTTCGTCTTTACTCGCCTGGTCTACAACGACTGCCTCGTCAACAATGGCCAACCGCTCAGTAGTCAGGGAGGCGTATCGTTCCAGTACTCCAGTTCGGCCATGTATTTAATGAGCATTGCCATCGCCACCCACTAATGCTCACGATGAAGACGGCTCGTTGTGCTTGCCGCCAGCGAGCCGATCTTTGATCCATGTTACAAGTCGATGTCGAGCCTTTGTGCAGTGATGTGCGTTTTGGAGTTGGGTGATGTTTTCATGAATTTTCTCTAGACATTTGTATCTGAACTAGATGCTGGTGTTGCAAGCATCAAGGTTGGAGTCAACACGCTAATCGAAATGTATTCTCACATGGCGCTAAAGATATTAGTGGCTTGTATTTCTGTGCTTCCGGATATCTTGGTCTTTTTATGTAAGATTGTAAGCAATTGTTGACGATGGTAAGCTAGGAATGTTGGAAGATCAAGCCCAATAATAAAGATTGGTTTGCAGCAATAGGCAACGATCAAGCTAGAATATCGGCTAGCAAAACTTTTGTAATTCCGCCAGTGATCACATACCAATAAAGTGTCAATGTTTGTTAAACTGGTGTCTAGCAAATGCTTCGTCAGAAGATCAGGTAGATTGTCTTCTATGTGTATGTAATCAAGTGCAATTTCCTCATCTAAATCTTGTCTCCTTGCAAAGTGATGCGTGACCTTGATGTGTTTCATTTTAGCATGAAAAACAAGATTAAAAGCAAGGTTTACAACATCTTGATTGTAACATAAGAGGTGCAAATCCGCATGAATCAAAGTTGCTACGTGCTTGAGATCTTCGCCAATGTTGGAGTCTTGACATGTAATTGGGAATACAAGAGGCGGTAAAATCTGGAGTTCGTCGTGGCCGGGACGGGTGATCAGGCACTTCAAGAAGGAAATGCTCCTCTTCCCGCCTCTGGCAATTGGGAGATGTCGTCAGTAGATTTCCCTCAAGAATTCGTGGCCAAGAAAGCGTCGAACTCTGGTAGCACTCGGGACGAGCCTGCGGTCGCTTTACCTCGATTTTGGATCACAGTCCGGTCACTGATGAGTCTGGAGCAGCTGGAAGTGAAATGTGTCGCGGACGAGGCTTGGTACAATGACGATGTCGCGATTTACCGGAATACTCCGTCCGGACCATCCGGTGGGTTTGAGGTGGTGGCCGCCGGAGAAGCTGGCGCAGTCGTCCGGATCGTCCGGCTCGTAGGAGACCTACCTCCGTCGGCGGTCCATCTGGCCGGGAGGTACCGGGGGGTGAGGGGTGGTGTCTGCCGCAGTCTCTAACCCCGTCCGTCTGTCGGCCGCAAGTGCGGACCCGATAAAGTTGGGGGTTGCCGCCGGAGTCACTTCCTGATACGGCGGAAATACCATCCGATATATCCAGATGACGGCCCGTGGAAACAGCAACTGCAGACAACCGTTCAATCTGATTTACCGAAATTTACCGGAAATTTCAACTTACGGCCAGAAAAGGCCAAAATGAGGAGGCAATGTCGAGATTTTAGACGACGGCATCCTCGTGCGGTACGACGGCTTCAACGAGGATGACGAGGTTTGGGACATAGCCTACTTGAGGAAAGACGCAGGCAATGTCCAGGATGTGATCAGACTCTCGTCCTCCAATCTTCAAAAAAGGGATGGTCGCTTGTGCTCGGGCGTTTTTGAAAACAACGACGAAGAAGGAAGAAGAGATGAAGTACTTAGACGCTCGAATCGTGAATGTTGCTCGAAACCCTCACACCATTGAAGACGAATAACTGGATAACCGGTCCACACAAAGAGGGTTTGGGCAGCCCTTACAATTCCGTGTTTTTCACATTTGTGTACTTAATCCCGGTCACGTGGAATCTACTGCTCTTCATTGAGCAGCAGAGTTGCTTTCACTGGGGACATCCTATAGGATATAATCTCGCGAACACGATTCAAGTGCGGCTCATATCATAATGGAAAGCACCTCGTCGTTCCTCAGCGTTTTATTACGACACTTGATCGAACCAGTATGCTATAGATACGCAGCAAGTACATGTTCATCGGAAGGTTGATGCAAGGGTAAAAAAAATAATGAGGATTATTTTTTGTTTTTCAAAGACAAGTATTTATGTATATTTTTTTGCATGAAAACTTAATTTTTTGCACTAACAAATTTAATCTAAAATAACTTCAATACGCTAATATGACCTTACTTTCGTGCTAAAGTGATCCATTATGAATTGAGTTCTGCGTCTATATAAATAAAAATCTAGATAAAAATTCTACATTACATATTTTATTATTCAATGTTAATATCTAATAAATTTTACAATACTTCATAACTTTTTATTTTATCTATTATTAATTGCATACTTAGGTAAACTGAGACGCTCACTAAATATTCACAAATTCCGCAACACCCAAGACTAGCGGCCCAAATCAAAATTCACGAACAAGGACTACTCGCTACCGCTTTAACCCGGAAATTCCAAGCACCACGGAGCGGAGAGAATGAATCTTGAGCAATTCGCTGCGAAAGGGATCGAGGGCAGTCAGTTCAGTAAAATGTAATAGAGGAAGCCCGGGGGACCAGAGGGTCAAAAGGCTGAAAAACACAAACGAAAACCACAAAGAAGGGAAAAGACCCTATTGCTTCTTATCCCCTTGCGACGTCCGAGTCCTCACAAGACAATAACTGAATTCTGTTTCACAAGACTAAACTAGGCTTCTGAAGTATTCACCGTCACAGTAAGATGATCATATATTTGAGGAAATTTCAAAATCTGAGGAGCTCAAAATCTGCTATTCTTTGCGAAGGAGCTCACCTACACTCTTCCTCAATCCAATTGTCCCTCTTGTTCCCTATCGCTGCTCATTTCCTTCAGCTTTTTTCCTTTTGCTACAAAGTTCAAACTTCTCATCGAGCTGAGATTTGCCGTACACTCCTCATGGATCACTCTTGCTTCGCGCACACATTATATGGCATACGACAAGACAGGAGACAATCCCGTGGGGACATCTCATACATTAGGACGCAGCTTTCTTCGAGACACCTATCCAGGCGCACGACGGCGGCAGCAGCAGCAGAAGCTACGATAAGCATCATGTCTTCTTGAAAAACGAATCATGGTCTCCTCCGCTCTCCGCTTTCGACACAGGCCACTGACGCACTTAAGTTAACAGTAGAGAGGGAGGCCCATTCGGGTGTTACATACAGACGACGGCCTTTTGCAGAATGGTGGTGTGCGAGAGTTGACACAGCCCACAGACTCACACCGAGAGCAGGGACGAGGATAAGATGACTGAAATGGAATGGACTGGACTGGCCTACACGAAGGCGAAGCTGTGTTTGGCAATATTTGCTCATTTTACTTATCTCATCTTCTGACCACATGCTGGCTTGAACGCCTCCATGCGAAAAACCGGATTTCCAGTCTCTAGGTCCGCCGAATTCTACCTTTAGAAAATCATTCGATATGCATCTTTTGAGGATGCTAGCTTTTGCGCTTGCTTACGAACTAACGTCAAAATTTTGATCATTTTCAGATCCTGTAAGTTCTATGGGACACTGTAATCTCTGATACCGTTACAAAAGTTGCATATCGCTTTCGGATCGTCCGCCTCCATCATCATCATAATCCTTCCTCCCCTCCCCTCGCATTGCACGAAGAAACTCGGAATTTTGAATCGATCTCCTCGGCGACACGATCCTACATGAGACTCGAAATCAAAACCGTAGGAGTCTGTACATCTCCGCCTAAAATATGCACAAAGGTGACCTCAGCTGGCGGCAAGCACAGCGAGCCGTCTTCATCGTGAGCATTCGTTGGTGGCGGTGGCAATGCTCATGGGATACATGGCCGAATTGGAGTACTGGAACGATACGTTTCCCTGACTGAGCGGTTGGCCATTGTATGGCATTATTTGGCATTCATCCCAACGAGGCATTCCGGTCGCACTACTCATACGGGAAGTTTGTGGGTAGAAGGGGATGGCTGAATTAAACTTCCAAAGAGAGCCGAAATTCTTGCTCTCTTTCCAGAGCCTGCAGCGACATCTCGACGATCACATTTGTAAAGCGGCAGCTGCACTACCTTCTCTACTTACCAAGATAGTTTCTCCCTCGGTCGAACGAGGAAGACTTCACGAGAGACACGGGAGACAAATCGAACATTCTCGTCAGATGTGATCACACGCTGCTATTTTGTATGAGTCCCCCTCAGATCAACACAAGCGGCCATTCGGATATCTTATCAGTGCTCGAGGATGATGGACGCTCTTCACAGTACGAAGGCAAGGTCCGACATTACCTGTGGCTCTGCTGGGTCTCAGAAACGGAATGCCGTGATCTAAGATCCATGTCTGTGGTATTCTTCCAAAATTTCTTTCCGCGCACTGGACGCAACTTGTCTAATGCGCCAGCGCTTTTGATTTGGTTTGGCCAACTCATGGATTACATTGAGACTATTGACGTCCAGATCCACCATCGTAATTCCATCGTGCCAGCGAAGCAAATTTTCAGCAAACCTTTCAAGTATGTGGATTTTCAGTTCAAAAGAGGTCTTTGTGAACGAGAATTATAGCATCAGTAGCTAAAAGCTGAGGCTCAATCATCTAATTATCTCAGAAGCAGTTACCAAATTGTCAAATCATTATTGTTTGGGCAACTCATGATTTGGATTGAGAGCGCTTGAATTGTAAAGTACTGCCCAACCTTGGTACGCGCTTTATGGCATTTTCACTATAAAACCTCAGAGCAGTTACATGCGTCCTGAACTTCTCTGTTACATAAGCTTTTGATAAAAAAAAACTCCGACTTCAATTCCGCAAAGCTATGTCTTTGGAATCGGAGTTTAGATTGGTTTAGAAGGGCGTAAAGACATTTCAAAGTCTTGCACATCGCGTACGAAACGTTCAAACTGTATAGTAATCAAAGGGCTCCTGCTCAAGGGCGATGCAGAATTGAAATCGTAGTTCCTCTGTTATCAAAAGCTTATGTAGTAGAGAAGGCAAAGATGCATGTAACTACTCTGAGGTTTGGGAGTACTTAACGAGTCAATCGCTCAATGTAGTCCATGAGTTGTCCAAACCAGAATTATTCAACCATTTGGTGGCTGCTTTTGCGATAAATAGACGATAAGCTTTCAGTTACAGATGCCATTATTCTCGTTCACAGTTACTCCTTTGTACGGCGAATCCTGGAAAATTTACAGGAAAAGTTTGTTTAAAATTTGCTTCGCTGGCGGGATGGGAATTACGATGGTGGCTCTAGAAGTCAGGAGATACTAAACACGATGATCCTTGCTCATCCGTATAGTTGATGTGATTTCTATCTTCAGATGTATATCTAGTGAGGGACTAAGCACCAGACTGCCTAGTTACAACTCACTGTCGATTCCGATAGATTTTTGTATAATTCGCTCTGTCAACGTAAACACGCATCGTTTAAAAACTTTGCTATTCGTAAATTGTTATAGGTAGACATATCATCATTTCAGAAAGTTTATTTTAATACTTTATTTAAAATAAAGTATATTTATGGAATAAACTTTATCTTGTGAAGAAAAGATTCAATACCTCCAAGTCCTAACCCAACAAATGCAGAAACTTGGCTATCGTTACCATGTACAGGGAGTCTGGAACTGACCAAAGATAAGGATATCTCTGCAAGCCAAATTCAAGGTCATCAACCACGAGCCAAACTCAAGATATCAATACATATCTATACAATAGAGGTTTTACCAAAACGCCAAAAGGAAAGTCAAGAACCGAGTTTTGACATTACTATGGCAAGCCGAGCGAGACGTCGGGAAAATCGGTCCAAGTTGGCAACCTCCTCAAGAGAGGGCTTGTCCGGGAGATGAGCTCTAAAAGTCAAAGCTACCATCCACACGGCTCTTTCACAATAAGGAAAGACACCTGGTGACAGCCTAGCTCACGGCCCCCACCTCAACTTCCTACATCAGCTACAGCTCCTTCTGCACATGCTGATCTCTCCATTTTTGAACCCGTCTCACGCAAACATCTGGAAACATGGCACCACGATGAAGCACAATCTTTCCTCCCCGATCATCGATTCATTACTCGAAACGAAGGGCAGCGGGCGTGAGCATCATGTAAAAGATGCTCCCAATGGCAGCTTGTTTATCTGCTGCAGATCAGAACACGATATATCATTTTCATCTTTGCCTTCTGGCTTTGGAGCTTTGAGGAGTCAAACCTTGTTTTTCAGCTGGAATCACATCATGACAGCCGTTACGACCACCATGGATTCATTTTGAACTTGCATCGTCATAAAAATGAACCATCAAATCATACCTCCGTACTGCAACGAACCCTCGCTTTTTTTACCCGTCATGCTCTTTGCCCATCCACTCTTCCACTTTTGGTTATGTTGGCCACGTTGTGTGTATGCTCATATGGGGTCCACTTGACACAGTTCAGGAGTAGTCACACTCTCACTCGGGAGTAGAGCTACATCAGCTTATGTCCTCAAGTATCATAGTTGTGTATACATGGCATCTCGTTGTATCTCTAGACTTCACATTATTCTGCTAGGTAGAGCACCTTCAACACATCACATTATTTTGCTACGTAGATCACCTTCAACACATTTGTGAGGGAACTATGCTTTGTCCGGAATGATGGAATTCGACATTGTGAAAGAGGTCACTGAAGACTACCATACTGCATGGCAATGGCATCTTTTGTGTAAGATAGTATAAGTGGTCAATCATTGTTGTGGAAAGTACAATTGCTGGTGCAATTCTACAGATAGTTATGAAGCTACTTGATGATTCTTTCTATAACTGCTGGTGCAATCCCTACAATAGTATGAGATTACTTCATGATTTTCTCTACATTGAGTATATAGTTTCGACATCAGTAAAGTTATGATATTCTTAGGTTCATTAGTACATGTATCCTACTGTGATGATATTGGGACCAAACCCTCACATATCGACCCCTTGGCTTCATCGACATTGGCGGAACATGAGAAAACGTCCCCGCTGAGACAGGTAGATGGAGGTTTTTCTCGTAACTCCCGAATGGACACGACCGACTGTTTCTGTCAGAACATTCTCCGGCCATCCAGCAACGTGGACGTTGCTGGACGTTCTCGAGACGGACGTTTTAAAATGTCCGTTTCGAAAAATTGATGCTTAAAAACATTTTAAGCATTTCCAACTGATGTTTTTCAAAACATCAATTTACGGATGTTTTTGAAAACATCCGTTTTGATAAAACAAAAATCCGTCAACGGATTTTTGTTCTATCGAAACGGATAGCAATAAAAGCTTGACTTTTTGCTGGAATCCTCTGTCCAAGAGATGAAGCGCCTTCGACTCCTGTACGACAGCCTTCGGAAGGAGTTATCGAACTCGGGTTAAGAAATAGCACAGTTTCTTTCCAGCTCGCTCATGTACTTCTCTAAACCTTGATCTCACCTTTGTGAATGCATCGATGTTGAATGATCCAGTCTTTTCCCATTGATTATGATACTCGAGTCTTGAGCGCGTGAATCTTTCTTCGATTTTCGTCATCTCTTCCGTGCTCTAATCAGAGTCCATGTTCAAGAGAAGAATTCTAGTTTGCATGCTCTGATGGGAGTGGAGTATTATGCTTCCCATGCTCGAGGGGAGCATGCGCAATGCCAGACATTGCGCATGCTCCCTCGGCCCTTTCTTCAGCTTTCAATGATGAAAAGCAAGCAGAGGCGGCAGCGGAGCCGATAGTATTTCTTTGCTCGAGAATGTCCGCCTGGCTTTTGGAATTTTTTTCCGCTTCGTGTAGTAGTAGTAGTTCTGCGTGATGGCACTCGGCGGTATGTATCATCATGAGCTCGTCTTCTTCGGGTCGCGTCGTGGTTTGCTCGTCAATCAGTTCGTTAAGTCAGTGAATTGCAACCTCATTCCATTGGTGTATGGAATGAGGTTGCAACTCCGGGGACCCAACTCAGGACAGAAGGTACGATATAGCAAAACAGTCGAGTTGAGTTGTCTATCTCCTCGGCATTGTTCGCGAAATGTCGGATGGTCTGGGTTCGCGCTGTCAGTCGGTGCAGTTGTGAGTGATTGTAGCCTTGGAATTTCTTGGTTACGAGGCAACTGATGGTTACTTCTGTCGTAATTGTGTGTGGCAGCCGCTTCGGGAAGTACCCGGCGACGTATCAGGAGGTAGTCAGTGGACTCAATTCTGTACATTTGTATTGATTACGAGCCACCAGCGGTGCCACCTCCGGCCCTCAAGTCGACCGTCGTCACAGGCTCCTCGCGCCCCACAACCTCCTGGGGCGTCTCGAAGTCTGACATTTCTCGATCGACTCTTTAACGCCACTTCTACGGGAACCGAATAACTTTTAACTGGCAGTAGAGGAGGGGTTTATGCTGGTAATGCGTTGATGATGCTTGAGCACGAGCATAGATTCCGGTGAGGAGCTCTGTCAATTGCAATTTATATGCTGCCGATTCCAGTTCGTTTGTTCAGTTTCTTTCATGCGACCGCAGTCTGCTTGCGAAATTGGAATTCAAGAGGATCTTTGTGTTGTGAATTTTCACAAGACCGAAATCCTCTTATTTCCAGAAACTTGGAGCGACGTTGTGTTTGTTGTATCCGTAAGATAATCTGAGATGAGTACCTAAGTTCGCTGGTTATGATCCGTAGGAAGGTTTGCTTCGCTATTTGCCTAAGAAGCAACCACTGGAAGGACTTTCTCCTGTGGCAAGTTATGTATTATTTGGGACGGCGTGCCCAGTATTTATTTGGACCAGATCAGAGTCCAGACGCCATCATAGTCGCAGGCGTTCGCGATCACTACCAATGCAAGATCGTTTGAACTCAAGTCTAGGTTGGACCTCACATATTCCGGACGAAAGCTAGACTTGAGTTCAGACGATTTTGCTTTAGTCATGTAGTGATCTAATTCCCAATGAGGAAAGACACATGGCATGCTCCCTGGCGACAAAGCTAATGGGGTCCAACCACCTCAGACGCACTAAAAGTGCAAGGGTGTCACCAGGTGTCTTTTCTCATTGGAAGTGAGATCACTGCATGATAAATGCAAAATCGTCTAAATTCAAGTCTAGCTTAAACCTCACATCTTCCGGACGAAAGCTAGACTTGAGTTTAGACTTTAGTTTAGTTTAGATTGTTTGTGATTGGGAACGCGTGCTACTATGATGGCGTCTGGAAGGAGCATGCTCTCGTCATGAAAACAGCTGCCAGTCTAATGTCAGCGGGCTACAGTCCAGATGACGCCACATTTGGACCAGTGAGGGTGTTTGTACTAGGCTCTGGCAATTCAAATCGTCCCTACAGGGACTATTTACAGGTCTGTTTTTCTAGCCAAATAATTGAAATGACAACTTTTAGCAGCAGCATACTTCTGACGAGTGATTTTTTATTTCACATACGCGTGACTAAATATATTGGATATTTGCAGGTCATGGCCCAACACGTTGGGTTGCCGAGTGGAGTCGTCCAGCATGTGGGTGTCGACGAGGACATCGACGGCCTGCTCTGGGCGTTACCAAAGTATAAACTACCGCGTCGGATGCCCAGAGCAGGCCATCTGGGCGTAGGATGCCCAGATGGCCGGCTCTGGGCATCCTACGCGGTCGTTTATACTTCTGTAACGGAGGAGCATGGATTTCCACCTATCCTCGTACTATCCTCGTACGGTCCTTGACATTTGAACGTACTGTGATTGTACCTGACATCGCGCCGATGAACAAACATGTAAGTAATCCGCCCATTGAGATTGTTTGCTAGTTGGCCAATACTGGAAACCACCGAGGCTGGAGCATAGCTCTTTGAGGTCATTCATTTCTATCGTGTGTGTTTTACAGATCTCTGACGGTCATAATGGCTTTCTTTTCCCTCCTGGAGATGATGAAGATCTCGGGCATATTTTGTGGGTTATCAAGAATAATCCATCTTGAAAGAGCGATATTGCTGCCGAGGGAATATTTATGGCTGAGATTTTGTGTTCGCGCGATGCCGTTCTGGAGTACGGGCATTTACTGGAATCACTCTTGGACTTTCCCGGAGGGCCTGTATACTACCGCGTCCGACCGACAAAATACAAGGTTTGGTACCGCGAGGTTGGAATTGGGACATCATCCCAGAATTTCCTGTAGCGGAAGAGAACTCAACGGTGAAGGACCTGTTCTTTCTGATCAGATAGCGTGACTTAGTTGTTCTAAAGTGGATTTTGGCTGTTGTGAGTGAGGCATAAAGCTAGCCATAAGTATATATTCATATCTGTGGGATCTGCACATCACTCTCATCACATTTCCAAGAGTAGACACAGAGTTAAAAGGTATCTTGAGGTAATGTCATTTCAGAGGCAATTGGTAATGATTTGCTTGAATCTGCCATTGTAACAACACAGCTTGAATTAACCATAATACCCGCTAAGGCGACCTCCACCATTTGAGAAGAGACAGAAGGACTATGTGCAGAATCGCCCTAAACAAACGTAATCGTCTAACTTTTGCGCTCTAGTCGAAACTAAGTTTTGACTGTAAGTGCTTGCGACTAGCACGATGCAGGTCACAATGGCAGATTCAAGCTGGAGAGAAACTGAATCACAACAGCTCACTCGCTTCATTCATAGCTCAGGCAATTCGGGCCTCAAGGTTGGTAGGTACTTGGAAAACTTATCCCAGTATATGAACTGCCGAAGATTGTTATTGCGGATAGGAGTCTGGGATCGTCACACTCGCTGGTTGCTGTCACACGATCCTTCTCGAGGATGTGTTTCTCGAAAACTCTATTGTACACATGAATTGTGGATATATACGACTCTGGAGAATTTGGAGGCTTGGTTACAAAGTCTCCTTCTACCTTATTTTATCAAAGAGCTTGTATGTGGGTTAGATCTCTGTTGTATATAATAGTTAATAGAGACATCTAAATGGAGCCATTTTTTCCTCCACATTAGTAGACTATATTTTTAACAAAACATTATATTTTAGAAGATGTTGCGACGAAAATACGTATGGAGTTATGACCTATTGGAATTAATACCAAGTCTCAATTACGTATCACATATTTTTCAAGCATTGGAGTTTGCATGTGTCTCTCGTGAGCAATCATATGCATTTAGGACAAGATCACATAGTTAAGACAAATTTGGATTTGTATCTTGTCACGCTTACTTGAAGACTAGATGGAGGTTGTATATACTAAAAGCTCGATGAAGAAAAGATAATATATTTACGTGCAATTAATTTACATTTAAAATATCAATTATGGTACTTTATGATTGAAAGAGGAGCGACTCCTGTCGATCCGTTTACAACGACTGCCTCGTCAACAATGGCCAACCGCTCAGTAGTCAGGGAAGCGTATCGTTCTAGTACTCCAGTTCGGCCATTTATTTCATGAGCATTGACATCGCCACCCACGAATGCTCACTGTGCTTGCAGCCAGCGAGCCGATCTTTTATCCATGTTATAAGTCGATGTAGAGTCTTTGTGCAGTGATGTGCGTTTTGGAGTTGTGTGATGTTTTCATGAATTTTCTCGAGACATTTGTATCTGAACTAGATGCTGGTGCTGCAAGCATCAAGGTTAGAGTCAACACGATAATCAAAATGTATTCTCACATGGCGCTGAAGATATTAGTGGCTTGTATTTCTGTGCTTGCGGATATCTTGGCCTTTTTATGTGAGATTGTTAGCAATAGTTGAGATGGTAAGCTAGGAGCGTTGGAAGATCAAGCCCAATTATAGAAATGGGTTGGCAGCAATACCGAAGGCCGAAAATGGCTGGTCCGCACTCGATACCCGAACAAGCTCCTCGCGCACTCCATGCCGTCGGGCCTTCGGGTTCGGGTCGAGTGCTACGCACCTCCGAGCCTTTCACTTATATATTAGCCAGTGAAAATTTGGAAGTAGGCAAGACGGTGGCAACGATCAAGCTAGAATATCGGCTAGCATAACTTTTGTAATTTCGCCAGTGATCACATACCAATAAAACGTCAATGTTTGTTAAACTTGTGTCGTGGCAAAGGCTTCATCAGAAGATCAGGTAGATTGTCATCTATGTGTATGTAATCAAGTGCAATTTACTCATCTAAAACTTGTTTCCTTGCAAAGTGATGCGTGACCTTGATGTGTTTCAATTTGACATGAAAAACAAGACTAAAAGCAAAGTCTAGGACATTTTGATTGTAACATAAGAAGTGCAAATCCGCTAGAATCAAAGTTGCTACGTGCTTTAGGTCTTTGCCAAACTTGGAATCTTGACATGTAATTGGGACTACAAGAGGCGGTATAGTCTGGAGTTCGTCTTGGCCGGGACTGGTAATCAGGCATTGCAAGAAAGAAATGCTCTCTTCCCGCCTCTGGCGATTGGGAGATTTCGTCAGTAGATTTCCCTCTCGGGAGCCTTACAAAATTCGTGGCCAAGAAAGCGTCGAACTCTGGTAGCTCTCGGGACAAGCCTGCGGTCGCTCTACCTCGATTTTGAATCGTAGTCCGGTCACTGATGAGTCTGGAGCAGCTGGAAGTGAAATGTGTCGCGGACGAGGCGTGGTATGATGACGATGTCGAGATTTACCGGAATACTCCATCCGGACCGTCCGGACCGTCCGGTGGGTTTGAGGTGGTGGCCGCCGGAGACGCTGGCTCAGTCGTCCGGATCGTCCGGCTCGTAGGAGACCTACCTCCGTCGGCGGTCCATCTGGCTGCCGCAGTCTCTAACCCCGTCCGTTTTTCGGCCGCAAGTGCGGACCCGAGAAAGTGGTGGGTGGCCGCCGGAGTCACTTCCTGCTACGGCGGAACTACCGTCCGATATATCCAGATGACGGCCCGTGGAAACAGCAACCGCAGACAACCGTTTAATCCAATTTACGGCAATCTACTGGTAACTTCAACTTACGGCCAGAAAAGGCCAAAAGGATAGGCAATGTCGAGATTTTAGACGACGGCATCCTCGTGCGGTACGACGGCTTCAACGAGGATGACGAGGTTTGGGACATAGCCTACTTGAGGAAAGACTCAGGCAATGTCCAGGATGTGATCAGACTCTCGTCCTCCCAGCTTCAAAAAAGGGATGGTCACTTGTGTGAAGAAGGAAGAAGAGGTGAAGTACTTCGACGCGCGAATCGTGAATGTTGCTCGAAACCCTCACACTTTCGAAGAAGAGCGCACCTGTGTTTTCGAGGCGCACTGGATAACCGGTCCACACAAGAAGGAATTTGGCAGCCCTTACAATTACTTGTTTTTCACATTTGTGTACTTAATCCCGGTCACGTCGAATCTACTGCTATTCATTTAGCAGCACAGTCGCTTTCACTGCGGACATCCTATAGGATATAATCTCGCGAACACGATTCAAGTGCGGCTGATATCATAATGGAAAACACCTCGTCGTTCCTCAGCGTTTTTTACGACACTTGATTGAACCAGTATGCTATAGATACGCAGCAAGTACATGTCAATCGGAAGGTTGATGCAAGGGTTGCAAAAAATAATGGAGAAAAAAACATTACTTTATTATAAAACAAACTCAGTTGAGGATTCTTTTTTGTCTTTCAAAGAAAAATATTCATGTGTATCTTTTTTGCATGAAAATCTACTTTTTCGCACTAACAAATTTTATCTAAAATAACTTCAATGCGCTAATATGATCTTACTTTCATACTAAAGTGCTACACTATGAATTGAGTTCTGTATCTATATAATTAAAAATCTAAATAAAAATATTACAAGATTTTTTACATACTTAGGTGCTCACTAAATATTCACAAATTCCGCAACACCCAAGACTAGCGGCCCAAATCCAAATTGGCGAACAACGACTACTCGCTACCGCTTGAACCCCGAAATTCCCAGCACCACGGAGCGGAGAGAATGAATCTTGAGCAATTCGCTGCGAAAGAGATGAGGGCAGTCAGTTTAGTGCTTCATATCCCCCTGCGACGTCCGAGTCGTCACAAGACAATAACTGAATTCTGTATCACAAGACTAAACTAGGCTTCTAAAGTATCCACCGTCACAGTAAGATGGTCATAAATTTGAGGAAATTTCAAAATCTGAGGAGCTCAAAATCTGCTATTCTCTGCGAAGTAAATCACCTTCGTGAAACACTCTTCCTCAATCCAATTGTCCCTCTTGTTCCCTATCGCTGCTCATTTCCTTTAGATTTTTTTCTTTTGTTACAAAGTTCAAACTTCTCATCGAGCTGAGATTTGCCGCACACTCCTCATGAATCACTCTTGCTTCGCGCACACATTATATGGCATACGACAAGACAGGAGACATCCCGTGGGGACATCTCATACATTGGGACGCATCTTTCTTCGAGACACCTATCCAGGCGCACGACGGCGGCAGCAGCAGAAGCTACGATAAGCATCATGTCTTCTTTAAAAACGAATCATGGTCTCCTCCGCTCGCCGCTTTCGACACAGGCCACTGACGCACTTAAGTTAACAGTAGAGAGGGAGGCCCATTCGGGCGTTACATACAGACGACGGCCGTTTGCAGCGTGGTGTTGGTGGTGCGAGAATTGACACTGCCAATAGACTCACACCGAGAGCAGGGACGAGGATAAGATGACTGAAATGGAATGGACTGGACTGGCCTACACGAAGGCGAAGCTGTGTTTGGCAATATTTGCTCATTTTACTTATCTCATCTTCTGACCACATGCTGGCTTGAACGCCTCCATGCGAAAAACCGGATTTCCAGTCTCTAGGTCCGCCGAATTCTACCTTTAGAAAATCATTCGATATGCATCTTTTGAGGATGCTAGCTTTTGCGCTTGCTTACGAACTAACGTCAAAATTTTGATCATTTTCAGATCCTGTAAGTTCTATGGGACACTGTAATCTCTAATACCGTTACAAAAGTTGCATATCGCTTTCGGATCGTCCGCCTCCATCATCATCATAATCCTTCCTCCCCTCCCGTCGCATTGCACGAAGAAGCTCGGAATTTTGAATCGATCTCCTCGGCGACACGATCTCACATGAGACTCGAAATCAAAACCGTAGGAGTCTGTACATCTCCGCCTAAAATATGCACAAAGGTGACCTCAGCTGGCGGCAAGCACAGCGAGCCGTCTTCATCGTGAGCATTCGTTGGTGGCGGTGGCAATGCTCATGGGATACATGGCCGAATTGGAGTATTGGAACGATACGTTTCCCTGACTGAGCGGTTGGCCATTGTATGGCATTATTTGGCATTCATCCCAACGAGGCATTCCGGTCGCACTACTCATACGGGAAGTTTGTGGGAAGAAGGGGATGGCTGAATTAAACTTCCAAAGAGAGCCGAAATTCTTGCTCTCTTTCCAGAGCCTGCAGCGACATCTCGACGATGGCAAGAGTAAAGCGGCAGCTGCATTACCTTCTCTACTTACTTGAAGTTGTATAGTACAGACTAATTATGCACTTTGATAATGGGAGGATTGTGCTTACTTAGACAAATCATTTCTTAGTAGAAATATGAGAAGCTGTCAAAATTGCTGGACAATCTACAGGAGAACCTGGATCTCAATTAACTTCTCTAACATTTTATATAGAGTATATATATATATATATAAGTTCATAATCCTTCCGGTGAATCAATAGTCATGGAAATTCTCCATAGCTAATAATCTACCGACAATAATTAGTAAATCTTTGAGAGATTCTTATAAAACTTTTAGATCTCTTTGTGAATCTAAAACCATAACAACAATTATATAACAATTACCTAGGCAGATCTTCAGATTTATTTTGACACAATTTTCAATTTGGCGAATCACGTTTTAGTATTTTGATTTGATTGTAATGTTTAAGAAACCAAAACTAAACTACTAAATGAGTCAAGGCCTCGGTAAGGTAAAGTAAAATACCTTCTACAAGGTAAAAGTTTTTTTTATTATAAAAGTTAATAGTCACGGGTAAATGTGTGAAGGTAACCTACACTCTTACCGAGGTAATTATCATTTAACTTGGCGGCTTGGTTAATTACGCCCATGATTACTGCTTGATAAATTGGCGACTTTTGTTAACTTGGCTTTCTACGCCTCCTCAGTAGAGTAAGCATACTGATCTGTCTACGGTCTGAATGATCAAAAATCAAGATGAACGACGCCAATGATCCCGATGAAGTATTCAGTAGCTTGCCAATTTTGACGAAAACAACGATGAGGAAAATAGCAACTTTGTGAAACTCTTGTACAGCTTTTGAATGAGTCGACAAAAATTGGATTTCATACCAACTCTGTGAAATATATATGAAATGAAATATTCAACGTAAATATCATTTAGATCTATGTGAATGTTACTTTAGAGTACGCTTATTCTTACAGAATTACTGATCCATTGAGACATCAATTTTTCTTTCAAACGAAATGAGCTTGGTTGTTTCAAGTTTCTTAATTTTTAGCCAAAACTGTACAGCAATTTGAAACTCAATCCATCATGTTCTGGTTATTTCTTTCTAACTGCAGTCATTTCATGATTCGTAGTAACAATGTCAAGTTTATCCATATAAAGTCTTGATTTATCTTATGAAATGAAGACATCTGTTTGCAGCATTTACTTCTACTGAGGAAACATTTCTTTGAAGCAATAATATATTCTTATTCCATGTAGTTAAACAAGAACACACGTGTCAAGTTTAATGTTCCTGACTTTGCCCTCTGTTCCTCTTTGGAGGATTACAATAAGGTTTTGTTCATGTACTTCCGTTTCTTTATTCTTTACTCTATTATAAGAGTCACCTACTTTGGTAATAGTAATAGGTCCTGAGCTGATTCCACAACTCCATCGGCTTTTAACGTATGCAGTTCAAACCTCGAGGTCGATGATGCGGCGTTTCCCGAGTCATCTAGTGGTTCTAAAATCTAAGTCTAAACTGGTGTGTTTATTTTGTGTTATCCGTTTGCTTGGTAGATCTCTGCTTCTCTATAAACATTCAATCACCAAATTTTCAATTGTATCAAAAGCAATCCAGAAATTGACACGTTGAAATGTATTAAGCAAAGTTCTTGATTGCAAGCCTTCTCTTGTCCGTACTAACAGCGCATTCAGAATGGCCGGAGCCCATTCTGAGTGATAATGTAGTAACGAGCAAATCTGTACAATTAACTTCTCGGTACATTATAGCCGCAACAAACAATTTTTTATGATTGTTGATTACAATTTTTGGAGAATTACACAGGACCTGTAGACATCATGAGATTGACGGGACTAGTAGGCCAAGGCAGTGGAGGTGCTACTGGTACAAGCCCATTGAAAGTTTTCTACAAGCCATTTCAAGTGGTTATTCTGAAGATTCTATAGCACTTGGCACACATAAGAGAGGATATTCTCACCAGCCCGGACAAGAGTTTTGTAGACAGGGCACAAATGAGTGGGCTTCAGCCATATGATTAGAAAATCGGTAAACAGCTCCTTAGGTCTGGACTCTGTCAAAAGATGAGCCTGACTGTCCCAGCGAGCTCCTTCGAGATAGTCTTTTATTATAGCAACAGCTGTCCGGCTGTCAGGTTAGTGTTTTGACTGAGTCTGTCCATCTCTTGATAGTCAAAACTTACACTATCAATAGCCATTCTCTTTTTTCGAGCAAAATTTTGGAGCGTTCCAGTCAAAAAGGCTGCAGAATATCACATGCTTTCAGACAAAACATCTTGAATAATATATGATATGAATAATAATTCATGAACCCTACGTTTGAAAGGAGGCCATGTTGTGTTTGATATACAAGAGTTCTCAAAGTCGATCGCCCCTCTGGCTTTAGGAATTGAGCAGCCCTGAAAGAATGATTAGAATTGTAATCACACTATTTCATCACATTCATGAGTACAAATCTATGTCTATTTGAGGGCCATGTGTTCTCCAGGACACGGTGTAATTTCCACGTACAAGGTTGTGTTCAGCAGTTTTGTACCTGTGGGAAAACAAAACCCGAGATCCATATCACAGCTGGAACACCTTCCGCAATCCATTATGATATAAACTTGCACCTCTCTAGCAAGTCATCTATCCATGCTGAGAGGGGTTTCAAAGAAGGATAAGCCTTGTGGCAAGGCAAGGCTTATGCCTTGCCACATCTCTGGCACCTACAATGGCCATAAATTTCACCAATGATCTCATGGGGACGTCTGGTAAAAATAATAACCTTTGGAGATTTCAGAGACAGATTTTCAAAAATCCTGAGAGCACCACTAAGCTTCGTGAATTCTCTTAGAGCAAAATTTTCTCTCCTCTGGAGTTTGACTAATGGGTTTTCGTTATAAGGCTACGTACTTTGTCAGGGTCGATGTTATCCACAATACGATCCAGTGCCGGCATCCATGACTGCGACAAATGACAATTTTGAAGACACACTCACATACAGCGCTCCATACCTTGTGCTAATAATTTCTCCGCTTTTGGACCTTGTCCTTGTCCCAAAGAAACCTGCAAAAGTGTTAAAAGTACTTCAGTCTTTCAGCTCTAAAATACAGAACTTTCAGAACAGTCTATAATTGCATGATCGAACATAAGTACCAACCTTCTCGAACTTTTGGGAGAATCGATCGTCTTCTACCAGTTTCAGCAAATCTGCCATAGGATCCGCTCCCGGTGAGAGAACGAATATGAGTGGTGAATTTGGAGTGCCATCTTTGAAAGATGTTGCAAGATTAAACGCTGGAGGTTGAATAAATTGCTGTCCAAGGTGGTGGGTGACAAAATCCTGCGCAAGAGTAATTTCCAGCACCACGAGCAGGATTTCTCATGATTGTTTGAACATACTACAATTATCCCTCTTGGTCTTAGGTATCTCTTTGGCTTCCCCAAGCCGTGGCCATTAGACTTTGCGTCCATAAGCCAATCTTCTCCAAAAGTGAAGGAGGCAGAGCTGTGATTGAGAGAGTTGAGTGATCCCATTTACTTCTACAACTCGACGTTAAAAGCATTGTATACTTTGGTGGTGGTCTATGCTGTCTACAAGCCAAGCAACACAAGCCAAGTTTAGGGCTTCATATCTCCCCCTGCGACGTCCGAGTCGTCATAGGACAACAACTGAATTCTGTCTCACAAGAAGAAGGCTAAACTACGCTTCTAAAGTATTTCCCTTCATCCTAACATGGTCATATATATGAGGATTTATGAAAACATAGAAATTTTATTTGCAATTGCTGTTCCTTCATTCCACGGAGAAGTTGTGTGCACAGGCTTCATAGTTCTACGGAAATATAAGTCGAAGGAAAGATCAAGAATTTATTTAGAAGGTCGGACACATCGACTCCGAGTTGTCTGCAACTGATTCTAGTGAAAATCAAAATCTGCTATTCTCTGCAAAGTAGCTCACCCACGTGAAACTTACAGTCTTTTTGTCCTCGCTTTTTCCCCATTGCTATTCATTTTCTTGTCGAATTTGCTGCAGAGCTCAAACTTCTCATGGAGTTGCGGTTTACTGTCCACTCTTCATGAATCACACTTACTTCGCGCACACATTAGACGGCATTCATCCCAAGGAGTCATTCGGGTGTCATTACTCCTACGATAAGTTTGTGGGAAGAAGGGATGTGGATGGCTGAATCAAACTTCCAAAGAGAGCCGAAATTCTGGCTCTCTTTCCGGAGCCTGCAACGATCTCTTGACAATCACACGGTGGCGAAGTCCATTTCAATTTTTTAACGCAATACACGTTGAAATTTAAATTCGTACAACTCCAAGATATATCCAGGCTGAAGGTAGACGAGTGGGAGTTGATTTTTTAGAAGATCTGGCTCAGGTACCGTTTTGAATTACATTTCAAATTTTGAACGCGATACACGTTGAAAGTTAAAATCGGGCAACTGCAATATATATCGAGGTTGGAGGTAAGCGAGTGGAAGGTAGTTTTGAGAGTATCTAGCTCAGTCATCGTTCTCAAATCCATTTCAAATATTGAGCATAACACGTTGAAATTTAAAATCGGGCAACTCCAAGATATATCCAGGATGAAGGTAAGCGAGTGGGAGTTGATTTATTAGAAGATCTGGCTCAGATACCGTTTTGAAATCCATTTCAAATTTTGAACGCGATACACGTTGAAACTTAAAGTCGGGCAACTGCAAGATATATTGAGGTTGAAAGTAAGCAAATGGGAGTTAATATTTGAGAGGATCTAACTCAGTCACCGTTCTGAAATCCATTTCAAATTTTGAAAGTGATACACGTTAAAATTTAAAATTGTGCAACTACAAGCTATATGGACTTTGAAAGCGATGTAGTGGGAGCTAGTTTTGAGAGTATCTAGTTCAAGCAGCGATTTAAAATCCATTTCAAATTTACATGATACTCAGTGAAATTTCAATTGGAGTTCAGAGGAGGATGGAGAGCTTGTGGAAGAATTTGGAAGATACTGTCATCATGCCTGCTCTTGAAGACTCCCTCGGTCGACGTGAGTTTCTCACATCAGATATGGACAAACCTTGCTATTATGTTTGACCCCCTCAGATCAACACCAGGGGCCATTCGGATATCTCATCAGTGCTCGAGGATGATGGATGCTCTTCACAGTACGTAGCCAAGGTCCGACAATGTCTGTGGCTCTGCTCGGTCGCAGAGACGGAGTCCCGTGATCTAAATGGCAGTCCCGTGTTTATGGCATTTTTCCAAAGTTCTCTTCCACGCACCGGACGCGACTTGTCTAAACAAAAGCGCCAGCGCTTTTGATCACTATACATTTCTCAAACTAATTTGTACAGCACTTCAATTTGAGCGTTTGGAGTGCAATACTTTTAAAGGTCGTCACGCCCTTGAGCAAGAGGGAATCGAAACTCCAAGTCCAAAGACAGAGTTTTCCGGATTCGATGTCATGGTTTTTATGTGATGAAAAACTTATGGAACAGAGAGAATGCGGAAACGCATGTAATTGCTCTAAGGTTTGGGATTACTGTAAGATTGAACTGCTCTCAATGTAGCAAATGTAAAAAACCAAAACGATTGGAAAATGTGTGACGTTTATGAGATAATAGACTATGAGCCACAGCATTTATTTACTGATTCCATAATTCTCGTTCAGAATTCCTTAAAATATCTTAAGAACAATGTAATATTTTCACTTTTATTCAATAATGTCTTGTGTCAAAGATCCTTTTAACATTAGAATATATATTATAAATCTTGTTTTCTGTGACTGTTAGATTTTTAAACTTTGGTTTGTAGTTTAATGCTTAAAATTTGCCTCAATTATTGCATACATTTCACCAAAAAAGTCACGTTCATAATCTCAGATTTATAAATATTTACTGGGTCCTAGGACATGAAAACACTGGACTAAAAAATCATATCTAGTATCAATATATATTATAGCGTTTTATATTCTTGAATGTAAGTTTTATTGAGGCAATATATCTGCACTTGACACAATCAGATATGCTTTCCTCGAACAATTTGATACATTATCAAGTGATTTCATGAAGAATTACAAATTATAGATGGAGATGAAGAAAATTGATTTGAAATCAGATTTCAGATATCTGAAGCAAGGGATTGAACCGAAGAAAATGAGAAACTATCTGATCATAAAGATTAAGAGATTTATGCACAAACTCTTATTCCATGTTTACGTAAAAAGGTGACGTTAGAAATATCACATTTAAAAAGATTATCACTTTAACTCCTCAACCTTGTGTAAGTTGTTATAGGGGTCATTGGTAAGTTTTCAACAATGTTTCCTGTTTGTACTCTTTCGGGATGTTTACCCTGAATGCCAAAGTGAAGTTTTGTTCACCCGCGCAGCAGAGCCGAGGACTGGTCGGGTAGGCAGTGGGTGTGCGGTAGTCCGTCGCCCAGGAGACATAGTAGATGACATGTAGTGTAGTGCAGCGTAGTGTAGTGTAGAGTGTTAGTTAGGATCTTAGGATGTTTAAAGCAGTTCAAGGCGTCTTGCCTTGGGATTCTTCCAGTTTTGGAAGTGCAGATCAGGAACTCATTTTCTCTCTGTGTTTGTGTCCTTAGTTCTGTCACCGCGCAAGAGGAGCTACAGCTTGACGAAGATACCGCATTTTGTAGCTAAAGGCCCGCGGCCGAATGTTCAGAGCTAGTGTACTGGTTAGATACTTGAGCAGTTTAGATCTACACCTACGGTTGATTGCTGAATGCTAAGAGCTAGTAACTGGTTAGAGACTTGAGCAGTTCGTCCCTACACCTTCACCAATTGACAAGCATATGTTTAGACCCTCATGCAATATTAAACTCTGCAAATTCTTCCTTGTAGTTTTCACAAGGAAGAAGTCTTCTAAAATTTTTGCCATCATGTCAATCGCACAGTTATGTTTCTGAAGAAGATCAGTGTTTGGCTAAACTATGAAGATGACTTTTTGAGGGTATTCATATTGTCTCGTTGCAAGTTTCACTATGATGAAAACCCTTCCGTTGACACGTGAGGGTGGTCATGTTGAACTTCCACACATATTCTTATGTCCCATGATGAAGGTCTGACAAATGTATGATGGACCGGAACTAAAGATTAAGATGTGTTATCATTATCAAGTAGTATCCGTCTTTAAACAAGAGAGCAATATAGTTTGAAGAGAATGCTTTTGCAAAAATTCATGCATGTCGTAACCCACTTTTTTTTGTGTGCGGAATTTAAACATTTTTGGAAAACAAGTACTGCGGCAGCAACTGTAAATAGTAATCGGTACATAAAATAGAGTGAAAAGGGAGGATCGCGGGTCACGGAGAATCCAGGAGTTGGGAGGGGCTAAAACCGAGGTCCAGCGCCTTGGACGGCGCAGACGGTTCCTACTGGAAAGAGCGCCTTCGGCGCCTTTGGCAACATCTCCTTTGCTGATGTGTCTTTGGCGATGCGCCTTCGGCGCATACGCCTCCAGAGGAGATGTCGCTGAAGATGTACGAAGCATGTGCGACACACGTCTTTGTCACAGGAAAAACGACCTTGTCATTTTGTTCGTCTTCGGCCGTACGCCTTTGGCAGTAACTTCTTTTGCCCCAACACCTTCGGCACTACCGCCTTTGTTGCTAGCGCCGCCTTCATCGATAGGTTTGGCCTTTGGCGTACGGAAGGCCTTCGCCTCTAGTATTCTCCTTCGGTGGAAAGATGCGCCTTCAGCAGAAGGACTAGCCTTCGGCGGAGTGTGAGCACAAAACTGTGCTCACATGTCTTTTTACCCTTATGAGAGTTAAAAGTTGGGATTTAAGCTCTTGCAAAATTATGCTTGGGGTTTTCTGAAAGTTTCTGCAAGATTAGGAGTTGGTGTGATGGTTAGGGGGCAAGAGATGCGGAAGGAGGGCTTCGGGGCAAGGTCTTCGGCGAAGTGCCTTCGGTGAAATCCCTTCGGGGAAAGGCCTTCGGCGAAGGAGTGAAACTCTCATAACGTTTTCAATGTGTGACGCCTCAACTCAGTTAGGATCTCGTTGGAAAGAGCTCGCGACGCTCGTTCCAACGAGCCCAAGAACTTGTGAAACGGATGAGAGGTCACTGAGTTATGAGTGGCGGAAGTTTCTGATATAGAGGGGCCTTCGGCCTGTGCACGGGCGAGCCTCGACGGACAGGCGAGCCTCGCAGGGCGGACGAGCCTCGACGGACGGACACCTGCGCACGGACGCGGACGCTCATAACTTTCTCAATTCTTAGCGGTTTGACTTGATTCGGGTCTCGTTGGAAAGAACTTGACGAGCTGGTTCCAACGAGACCAAGATCTCTTGAAACGGATGAGGCATCACCGAGTTAGGAGCGGCGGAAGTTTCTGATATGGAGGGCCTTCGGCGCTAACATTTAGAGGGGCCTTCGGCGTTAACAATAGGAGGGGCGGCTGACGACGCGGACGACTGACGACGCGGACGCCTGTGCACAGGCGGGTTGCAAGTAGGCGGCCTGTGCACAGGCAGGCCTTCGGCGGAAGAGGCGGACGAGCCTCGACGGACGGGCGAGCCTCGACGGACGGACACCTGTGCACAGGCGGACGGCCTGTGCACAGGCGGGTTGCAAGTAGGCAGCCTGTGCACAGGCGGCCTGTGCACAGGCAGGCCTTCGGCGGAAGGGTAAAATCGACATAGTGTTTTCAATTCTTAATGGTTTGCGGTGATTAGGGTCTCGTTGGAAAGAGCTCGCGACGCTCGTTCCAACGAGCCCAAGAACGCCTGGAACGGATGGGAATTTAGGGAGTTATGACTTTTGGAAAATCCGCCTTCGGCCCTAGATGTTCGCCTTCGGGGTTACGCTTCCGGGAATTCCGCCTTCGGAGGTAGAGAGTTCAACTTTTGTCCGATGCGCGGACGGACGCCTTCGGCGGTTGCAGGCCTTCGGCGGAAGAGTAAAATAGTGATAACCTTCTCAATTCTTATCCGTTTGACTTGGTTAGGGGCTCGTTGGAACGTTGCAAACGAAGCAGGGATCCGTGAGTTTTGGGCGTCGGGGTGACTGTTAGAGATTGACAAGGTGTGGAAGTGCGTCTTTGGCGGTTGGACGCATTCGGCGGTGCGCGGAAGGAGATTTCCTCCGGCGAGGATCGGGTGGTCATGAATGTAGAATGTTCAGGTGTGGCAGTGGCGGCGGCGTGAAGTCAAGTTGGTGTGGCAGAGACGGCGGGGCATAAAGTCGCGCATGGGAAGTAGGTGTGACCCATCATTGC